GTCTGAGTTTGGCGTAACGAGAGCTCGGCTGATGACAAAGATGTCATCCATTGGTCGTAGATTATCTTCAATAAGGAAGTCTTTACATCTTGGTCATGTTAGTCCATCGATATGAGCTTCCACTATGTTATTAGTCCGTCTAGGCAATATTATGTCGTTGACGAGCCGTACCTCGTAAGGTGATATGTCCGCAAGTGTGATATAGTTGATGGGCACGAGGTCTATATCTTCTGGTCCTATTCGTATGGTTTTATGATGAAGGTCAAGGGAAACCAATAGACCGTTTTCGTTTAAAGCACGGATGAAGTCCGATCCTAGTAAAAGTGGGACTGGACAATCCTTGTCTGCCGCTACATAGAAGCAATGGGAAATAACATGTGTTCCTATCTGGACTGGCAGACAAACGGTACCTGACAACTGTATTATTGTACCATTTGCAGTTGTCGCTGTTCTTGGTGCTCCCGTGGGCGATTTCGTACCTCCAATCAATGATAAAGTTGATGCCCTCATGTACGATATAGTTGCTCCACTGTCCAATAATGCTGTGACCGAGTTAGTGCCAATTTTGACCTTCAAGTATGGCAAATGTTGTACTTCCATTTTTATGGCATAGACATGTGGTATGAAGAGAGGTTTTTCTTTCCTTGGTGGCAAATCCACCATTACTAAATTGACTTTATGTTTCTGCTTCCTAGACTTCCGTTTCGGGGTGAAGTTCTTGGCGATGTCGAACATAGCTGACGCGGCGGTCGAAGTTGCGCGTCTAAGGAAGTAGAGCTTCACGTAGATAACGCAAGCTCCGACACAAAGTAAAATAATAGTGGCGGGTATTGCAATTCAAAGTATGGTGTAGATAACTGATCACTTTATATCTTCCACGCCATCCGAAAGCTTCTGTGTTGTTGACTCGTAAAGGGATAATAGAGAATGACCCAGGGACATGCTGGTATTCCGTATCCGTGAGAATGTCTCTTCAATTATTCCTCTTTTCTGGAGTCGCAGGACCACATTTGCTTGCTCCTGTCTGATTGCCTCCATGTGTGGAATCAACGATAAAGCGTGATTATCAAACAGGCGGTGGAATGTAGGTGGAGTGTCGAAAAGGAAAGGCTTCAATGTATCGTTAATAACGGCATTGGGTAGTATAAGCTTCTGTGTCGAGTTGGAATCCTTTGATGATAAGTAAGGACAGGGAACGGTGGCAGATGTCTGTATCAATTCCTGTGTCCCCGGTATTTGGAACCAAAGATCCTCGTCAATCCTGACGGGTGTCAATATGTAACATGTTCCACTAACCGTATGATTATTATAGACGAAGGTTGGTGTAACTTGGCGGCATTTCGTAATTAACAAGTTGTCCGCAGTCCGTACGGCCGTGATGTCAGTTCTTCCCAACAGAATCCTGGCGGCCCATGTAGGGTCTACCAGGCTTAGGGTACGTATTCGTTGTGCTCCGAGATATTGTCGGACACAGATATTATTGAACTGACGTCGCACCGCAAAATTTTGAGGGGAGATATTTTCCGTATTAGGTGGTTGTGTGGGCACAGAAAATATTGAAGATGTTGTAGAGAAGTTTGCAGCTTCTACTGTTGTTGAAGCGTTTTCCTCTTCCTCAGCCGTTGTTGGTATGATCGTCGTTGAGGCAGGTATAATTGATGCAATACCGAATCCACTACTGATACCGTTGATAGTATAGAGTCCACTACTGGTACCGTCCAATCCATAGAGACAAATCTTGTTGTTCGCGTCAAAATTTCCTCCCATGATGGGGTGGAGGCTGGTGTTTCGGCCTCTATTACGGGTTGTAGGGTGGGTAGTGGGGTATGGTGATACAGGTGATAGACTTCTGGTGTTGTGGATGGGGAAATGGAAGAGGTAGTACTCGTTGGTATCGTCGACGTTCCCTCCAAAGTACTTGATGGTTGGGTATGATATTTCATCAAAAGTGTTGTCTCCGGCGATGGGGGCGATGATACTGCTTTACTAATTTTGGTTGTGGTAGAAAGGAAGGTCCCTTTTATAGAGGGTGTTTTAATTGGACTGGTAGACGTTGATGGTAGAGTTGTCGTTGTTGTCATAGTATTTCGAACAGGTGATATCCTCGTTGTCAGTTTGAATGTCCTCATAGGAGTTCCGGACGTCATCGATGTTCGTATTGTTGTTATTGTCGTCAAGGTTGTTGTTTTTCGTGAAGTCGTCGTCGGTGTCCCTAGAATTGTTGTTTGTGGGGCTGATGTCGTTTGTACCGCTGATGAAATTCGTGGCGTTGTAGTCAGGGGAACTGTTCGGGGTGATGATGTTGTCCTAGTCGGATTGCCTATCGTAGTTGGTGAAGTTATCGGGGCCGGAAGAGTTGTTGCCAGCGCTGCTAAGGTGACGTTGAAATAGGGAATTTTAGACTTCCATTCTGGGTCTAGCGATCCTGGGATGTTGTATTCGATTCTTCCAAACTCCTTTTCGAGATAATCGTCGAATATCGGAGAACCGAGTTCCAGATCTCGTCGGATGTTGGTCACGGCATAATTTGGAGGTGTTACCTTCGCGGATTCCGCAAATAAATTTAATTGCTTCATGCGATATTCGCCGTACCGTATCGTACGTAGGACAATGTGCCTTGGATCATCCATTTTATAGTACCGGGTCGCCCGAGTAAGATCGTTATTAGTAATATTCCATTGTTTTAGCTCGTAGAGGATCTTGTTCCATGTTGTCGGGCGCGTATTGAAAAATGGAATTTTTCTGAGATGTCTAACACCGAACAATCGCTTAGTCAGAAATACAGGTTCCATCGGCACAATTTCAAACGGAAAGGTGTTACCATTTTTATCCGTAAGATGTCGTATAGCACGCTTTGTTCTTCTTCCTTGATGGGCCATGCGCAATACATAATCTTGGATGGTAAGGTCTTGTGGGACTTGGGGAAAAGTGATGATATGATTCGATGTCGTAAGGTAACTGGTGCCCAACTGACAATATCTGGTGAGTTGTTCGTGCAGAAGGTAATCCTCAGAAAATTGGAAGACGAGGTCGGGGTGGGGAAGACTATGTAGTTTAGGGTAACGAATGCTTCGAAAGTTCCAACATGTTTGAGTCTGCAGGAAGGTGTGACTTCAGTTGGTTTCCATATGATCGTGTATTCCTGTGTGAGACAGTATCCTTGGCTGTACGAGCAGTTCTCGGTGTCGCTCAATGGACTCATGATGTGCTGTCCGTCGAAAGTGGCGACTTGTCCTTCCTCTACAGTGTATAACTGCGAAGATAGTTCCTGGTCCCCCATAGTGGTATCGCAATGTCATCTTCCTCTATTTCATTAGTGATCCATAATCCGTCCGACTGCAGAATCAATTCATGATCATGTATTTTTCTTGATGTCCTGGCCGTTGCGCATAGTTCTTGAGGGATCGACAACTGGCGACGTCGCAATATGGTGGTGGTAGTACGAATACGGAGAAAACTGCTTATAGATACTTCAATGGCATCTCTGTAGCACTTAGTTGCATTACTCCAGAATGGATTGGAAATATCTGCAAACAGTTGCATCGTAGTTCGTAGCATGGGTGCGTTTGTCGGGGTTGTACAATCGAATGATTCTGGAAGTGAAAAGATGTTCGAATATGGGTTTGTGCCACATATCTGGTATTTCGCAATTGTGAATCCACTGCACAGTATCAGAGTCATGATACACAGTAAGTGAATCCCTGGAGAATTGATCCTTCCTCTCGCGAAGGTGCTGGGAGGTGCGGGAGCTGGAGCATCACTTATCGGAAGGGGTCTATATTGTGCATATGATGGTGCTCCATAGCCATAGGGTCTTCTTCCTTGTACTGGTGGAAATCTATTGTTGTACATTCTGCGATTGTAGAATGGGAGTGCACGTTGACGGAAAGGTGGGTATCGGGGATAATATCCTCGCGGGCCGAAGAAGGGAGGATTCTGGATAGGTCGCAGTGTCCTCTGTATCTGCCTGAACTTATTTCTATCCTGATCACTGGTGGGTTTCTGTCGTGGTGCTGCTTTCATCTGACTCAACTGCTGCTCAAGCCGATTGATTTTCTCATCCATAAGAAGAGCATTGACGGCTTGAAGGGCGTCTCTGTCTTCTTTTTTTTTCCTGTTCCAGGATGCGAGATTCCTTTTCTGCACTGCATACTATCTCATCGAATTCGTCCGTGTCAGGTAGTCTTCTAACCGCTTTCTTAATCTCGGGATTGAGGCCCTTGATAAAGAAATCAATGGCCATCTGCTTAATAAGTGGTTGTATTTGTCCCTGGAAAGCGATCTTGTTTTGTTGTAAATTTTCTTGGTGAATTCTCCCACGGTGTCCTTTCCTTGCGTCATATTATGTAGCTCATCTCGGATATTGCTGAGAAGAGAGGTATTCTTCATTCGCTTGGCTAGCTCCGTTACCAAATCCTTCCAAGGTATCTTCTCTCGATTCGGGATCTGTTGGTACTTCAGTTTCGCTCCACCTGTCAGGTAGAGTGGTAGTAATTTCTGCGAAATCAGGTTCGGGATAGCAAGCTCATGCGTCACTTCCGAGTATTCACTCAAGAATTCCTCAAGAGTTTTTTCGCCAGAGCCTGAGAACTTGTCCAATCTGTTTCCCAGTTCTTGCAGGCCTTGTATAACTGTTCTTGAAGCTCCTTGTCCGAGATAAAAGGTGTTACGCTTCTTTCTTGTGACGTAGTTGGTTTACTTTCTTCTTCTTCCTCTGGCATGCTTGATCTTCTTTCCTTTGACATAGTCGGCTTCCTTCGGTTCGCTTCGAAAATTGCTTCTCTTCGTTGCTCCCTGCGTTGGTGTCGCAATAATCGCGCTGTGGTTGATGACGACGTATTGGACGCTGTTGGTTCTGCAAATAAAGGTTAACGGGAAAACAAGGTGAAAAATAAAATACTGAAATAAGGTTATTTTATTCTAATCCAAAGAAGAGCTTCAAATGTACTAGCATTTTAGCAAAAAAAGATATGGTTGTAATTTCATTTCCTACTTTATAGATGATGCCAAATGGTAGGGCTAATGGAGTGCCCGAGGCACAAGACGATCGAGCTGATAGGGTGGCGTTGGAAGTGCCGAATAATGAAGGTAGTAAAGGAGTGCTTATGATACAAAATAATCAAGATGATGAATGAATGTTTAAAGCGGCGCCCAATGGACAAGATGATGGAGATAGGATATTTGGGGCGGCGAATGAAGCAGGAGATGGTGAAAATGAAGAGCTCGGGATGCCGAATCTTGGACTGCCGAATGGTTACCATCATGAGGATGATGAAGATGAAGTGCCGGAGGGTCCGCATGATCCGATCCTAGGGTTAGGCGCCCGTCCCCTAACCCGTAGGGAGCACATGCTGCTCTACCTTCGCTTGAATACACTCGAACGGGCGTTAGAGGCAGAAGATGAAGGCGAATTTGATGAAGATGAAGAGGTGGCACCTCTACTGGGGCCGAACGCTGATTTTCGCAGTGTCCGCCCTCGACTAGGGTGTGTGGTATGTGGCGTGAACGGCCACAAAACCTGCGACTGTGAGGTCTACTTGGAGTTCCGCGATCGAGTGCGGATCGTCTTCGCATATCGCCTATGTGGGCGATGCGCCGAATTCCATGATAGGCGTATGTGTATTAACCATCTTCACTGTGCGCGCTGTAGGCGAGAGGACAGCCACCCAACATTCCTATGCTGGAGGCCGATCCCGAACGAGTGATCTCATTTGAATGTTATTTATTATTATTTTGTGTACACAGTAAATTAATAATTCATGATGTTACTACAAATTGAAAAGTATACAATACTATGTGAAGATAGTAATACGACACCAGACAAGTTAGTACGATTTCGCAGATGGACGTAGTTCCCAAACGTCGGAATCCTTGTCCTGCTCCTTGGAGTCCTCGCGTAGATGGTTAAACGGATGAAGGATGGCTTTGGGAAGTTGGCCAAAAATCAACCAGACTTGCTCAATATGAAGGACGAGTGGGGTGGAAGAGTTAGGTGAAAAATCAAGCAGAGGAACATTCGGAGCACTCAGTGAGTAACCATGTCTATAGTAAAGATGTTTTTGCAGATTATGAAAAGAGGTTCTGGGACATGTGTTACATGGGAAACGATATTGTTTCGCTGATTTTGGACAAATTGTGAAGGAAGAGTAGTTCGGAATGAATGTCCGCAGCTGCCATTGAAGGCTGCCAGGAATAAAGCGAATAGACGATTACAGTGGCGTGTGATGTTTCGTGTTCTTATATACTTCAATGGACAGTTGCATTCTTCCTCCAAAAGCGTAGCTAGACGATAGGCGGAAATGAACGGGCGAAGGACATGCATTCCCGGAGGTGGTACGGCCATGACTTTTTCTTGCTCCTTTTTCCATTCTTCCGATGGGTTTTCAGGAATTATCGGAGTTTCGTCTCTAATAGTACTTAGAATATCGCGCAGGTGTTCAAAGCGTTCGTCAGCAATGCTCATGCTTCTGAAATTTCAAATTTAGTTATTAACGCTATATAGTTCGAAGCCGGAACCTCCATGTAAGGCTCGGCATAGTTCCGCAGAGCAGCTAATGCTAAGACTGATGAAAATATCGTGTGTGAGATATTCAATGTTCGCCGGCCTTAACAAAACCAATTCCCAACAACTGTTTATTAGCAAGGAGACCATCGTGCAATTGGGCAAAACAAGTGACCTTTCAAATTAAGACAACTAAACTACAAAGGATCATAGTGAGCCGTCGGCCAGCGGCGGTGAATCATGACGGCCGATATGAGTAAATAAAGGTGCGGTCGTTACTTGCAAAATTACGAGAAGAGTAAGAGAGTTCGAAAAGGAAGTTGAGAAACTACATTGACTAAGAATAAGAGAAGGTGCGAATGCACACCTGAAGGCTTCCTACGGTCTCTTATATATATGTTCTGCTAATGGATACGAACATTATGAAACTAACTTACATGGTACTTACATGGTACATGGTACATGGTACATACATGGTCACATAAAACAAATAATAAAAATGGTGTTCAAGTTAACATTGCCTAATGGAAAATACACAAACTTCCTAACGAATCCATTATCCTTAAGAGGTTTTCATAAGTTTCTTTCTCTTGTCCTGATAATTCGTTTTCGTCGTATTCCATGTCACTTCGCTGTTGCAATATTTGCTTACTCACTCGTTGTGTAAACATAGAGTCCGCTGTTCGCACCTGCGCGGAATATTCGACAAGGCACATTACAATTCTAACTGTAAAGTTCCTAACTTAGTATGATGCTTCATTGAAGAGTTATGCCAGGTAAGAGGTAGCGGCCATTTTTTCAATGTGCTAAAAAAGTGCGGTTGCACCGTTTAGAAAGCTTCGCAATCTTATGAATAATTGAGTTTTGAACTCAGCGTTCATAAAAACCCTATTACACAAGTTTTCTCATTTTTTTGAAAAATTTTGAGACGGCAGCTTTTTCCACAATGACACCATACGTTTCAAGTTTCTACCGTAATCCTACAGTAACGAAAAGCGATAGGTGATTCGCACCATACTGCAAATCTAAGTTGAAGCCAGCTCTACAAAACGGTGCTTGAAACAAGGCAAAAGACTTCTTGGGAAGAGAGATATTAACGATCAAACAGTGTATACATACTTTACGGACACCTTGTATATAAGATGACATAAGAATGCTAGTGAAGCATAGGAAGCCAGATCCAGGAATCTTTCCAGATTTTTGCTCACGACCAGTGAGTGCAATGAACAAGCGCAGTGAGTAACCTACCGCAAGCAAAAATCTGAACGATTTGTGGAATCTGGCCTCACTACTATGTCCAAGCGCGCACTTCTATACATGAGAAGATGCGCCGCGGAGAGATGAGTGGAATGGCGCCTGCGGTTAAGAATTCGTCCGCTCTAAAGCGAGATATGGCTACGCTACGGTGATGTCACATAAACTGGGCGATTGTGCTTTTTTCTTTTTCAAAAAAAAAGAGCGGTATTGTTGTGATTTGCAGAGCAAAAGGGAGATTTTTCAATGAGGAAGTAATCACAATTTTTCTTCTTGCTGCCATTCCCGTTGATTCAAAATAGTCCAAATCTTGAATAATCCAGATGAAGAACTTGCCGACTTCAAACTTGCAGCTGCGCTCGAATGATGCATCATGTCACAAAACAAGCTATCAATTACCTTTGAGCTCAACTCTCTTCGCAGTCGGTGTAGATTCTGTTGAGGATTGTCATGTCCAGATGATGGGCTCAAAAATTGTGGGCCTTTATCGAAACAACATATGCAGTACTCAAAAACCTGGCTAACCACTGCAGGAGGACTTCGAATCAATTTACTCAAGAATGGATCATCCTTAGAACGCAGAAAATAACCAATTTTTCGTCTTATTGAAGAAATTGCCTTTGACGCTTCGAAGTCATGACTAGCATTACCAGCTTCGATAGATTTCTATGTACTACTACATTTGAAACACTAAAGCACTCTGCTTGAGATACTTCTGAATGAATAGGGCATTTTTGTAGTTGACGCTTGTTCCTTCCACGCATTCGATTATGTAGTATATCAAATAATAGGTCGATGCAAAAATAATACCCGTTTTCCTATGCATCTCTATTCCCAACAATTTTTTTTTCAGAGTTTCTTTTTCGATATCTTGCATATCATTGGAAAACTCTATTCATGTACTTTCTAAAAGTCATGCAATTAGGCTTTTATCCTCAACTTGAGAATTTCACCAGATTTTGCACAGCCGCACTCAAAATTGTGAATCAAATGGTGCCCTTGTTGAAAATTTGTCCACTCTGAAGCGAGATACGGTTACGGTAACACATGAATCGGTGACTGCGCTCGTTTTCTTTTTTCAGAAAATACGGTCGGTATTATACTTTCAAATCCATAAAACTAAAAGTGGTTGGGAAAGAGATTACCTCTACGAAACACTATAATGATCAGCAAAGGAAGGAACTGAAAGGGAGAAAATTGCCTTTAATGAAATTTCCAACTCGGAAATTCTCAGAATCTAATGCTTGTGTACTGATGAGATATATCTAGTGGTGCTTTGACATTATGAGACTTGCTAAAAGCACTTAATTGACTAAAAAATGCATGCAAAAATGCACTCCAATTTGTATTTTTTATTTTTTTCGAGTATTTTTTTAAATTTATGCCAAGCTAGACTTTTTTCGAAGCAGAAGAATTATTGCTACGCCTTCGGCATAGTTATCTTGGTGATTTCTTGTCTTTTTCTGTAAATTTTTTCCCCTCCATATTCTACCGATCAGTACCGGATTGTCATTCTCTTCGCGTGACTAACCGTTCAAAGAATTTTGAAATTGACGAGCCCTCTACCTTGAGATCCCGCTTCCACTCGCCCAGGGTCTCTGACAAACTCGCTCGTCTAAATTCAAATTGGTCAGCCAGCCGTAGTATCTTCTACCAAAACTGCGTCTGGGTATGGGAAAAGGAGCTCGGCAGAGGATTGATCTCTCACCGCTTAAGAAAGAAAACTACTTGAAGACTACAGCAAGAGATATGTTTGTTGATTGTTCCTAATCTTTATCTTTGTCTACCTCTGTGGGTATATGAATAAACATATAAATAAATAAATTTTGCTCTAGATTTGAGGTTTGCCGAACGTTCACAGATGATGATAAACTAAAAAATTCTATGATGCCCCTTACTTCTCGAATGCCCAGCAAGGCTGGATTAATCATAGCTGGCCAAGAATTCTCATCTCGTACGGTCTTGACGTCTTACTGGCGTTAACGACGCATTTTAGGATGAGTATGGCTTAGCTTCACCGTATCAGCTCATCTCTATGGTTACCAAGGGGATGGCACTCTTTGATTAACGCAAACTCGTTCGTAAATTCCACGTTTCGCAATTAGTAACATGCGTTGTACTCCAGGTGTTTGTCTTTGGGTCATTGCTTTTGATAAAATTCTACCCTGTTTTAGAAAAAATATTTCTTTGCAATTTCAATATTTACTGTTGTGTTCACTAATTGTAATCTATTTATACAGGAAGCCCGATATTGCTTCCCCGAAGCCTTATGGACAACTACTGCGCACGAGTATATTGTCTATAGTGGCGATCTATAGGCTTGCTCTGAGTTGTGGATTTTTCAGCGGATGTTCCCACCCATAAGCAGGCAAAGGCAGGTAAGTAATTTTGAAAACTTTAAATTTTTTTGAACGGGGAGGTCGGTGATTTTCCAATCTCTTCTAGGCTAACTCTGGTTCGTCTAATCGTCTCACCAATAATCATCGTCGTATCTCATTGGTATCTATTATAGTTGTAGTTATCTTCACATTCTTATATCTCTGTCAACGCCAAATTCACACAAAACTATAAATTTATTTTTGCGCGGATAATAGCAATTTCCTATTCAGGGCCCAGATGATAAGATGTCCGATTTGACCGAAGAGCGTGTTGTGCAATATTTACGAGATAATCCGTCAGTGCTCGAAAATTACGTCACTGGTCCGAACGTCTCATCGGAAACCTTTCAAAGATGGATGCAGCGTCGAAACAATTGGAATCATTTACGACGAGATGCCAGGAAAATCTTCAATGGAGCGTGGGGAGTGAGTGATTACCCTGAATATGACAATTATAGTAATGTAGTCATGAACGGCATAATTTGCATGCTAAATATATCCTGGGATGACGCACATAAAATAGCTGTGATTCAGGAGAATGGAACAACAGAAATTAGAGTAACAAGGGCAGTTTTTGGAGAAATATGAGAGCTCGAGCTTCTTTGTGGAACATTACAAGGCCTAAATTGAGCCAATGCGCCAGCGGCAAGCTTAAATCGTACGAAAAATCTAATTCTAGACTCTTGTCCAGTACCGTATTTGCAGACGATAGTCCTCTTGAAAGCGTACGGTACTGGAAGTTATGGTGCGAAAGTTCAAAGTCTGAATTCTCGTTTAAGACCTCACTTTTAGTTTTCGCATTAAGGAAAGTATACACCAGCGGCGTACCCAGGATTTCGGCTCGGGGGGGGGGGGGGGCGCGACAAAAATTTTTTTCTAAAGAAGGTGCGTGGCGTTAGCCACGCACTCCGAAAAAATTTTGGGGTGCTTCCCAAAATTTTTTCGGGTCCCCGACCCCTAAAATCTGGAAAAAGGGGCGTGGCGTCACCCACGCCCCCGGAAAAAATTTTTTTACAAGGCTAATCTGAATTTTTAAAAATTTTTAAATATTACTTTAATTATTTACAAAAATAAACAAGTCACTTACACATTTTTATAACCCATATAAGTAACTTTCAAAAATTTTGCGACCCATTCTCGGGGGGGGGGGGGCGCGCGCCCCCCCCCCCCCCGCCCCCCCCCCTCGGTACGCCACTGGTATACACCTATACTTACCAGAAAGCCTGTATCATGAGTATTACACTAATACGATTGTAGTCAGTTCTCGTTTTGAAAGCGTTGGCATTATGCCAACAACTAAGACCATTAGGCAATAGTCCAAATGTTGACTCATCCACAAAATTTGAACAAATAGTTCATCATTAAATCTGTTTGGGTCATACTAACCGCCAAGCTTTCCGTTAGTAGAAGCGCAGAACGATCGCTTTATCTATTATATAAATGAAAAATCTTTTTATACTATTCTTGAACTGCCAGATTCTGCTAATTTTTTTTGTGTCCACCTTTTGAAGATGTGACTTTGCTCTTATTACACCTCACAACCAATGCTATATGAAATGCGCTTGCAATGATAAATTGCATCTGCAGAATTTGCTGCTTTTGACACAGAAATATTATCTTGCCGATAAGCCGAGAAGAGCCTCATCTGCTGGACTACGTAATAAAAGTAAGATCAACAGCTTCACAAGCACCAATACTGAACAGTTGGAAATTTGAAAAATCCACTTGAAAAACATCTTTGACCAATGCCTTTGATCACAACTAATTTGGACTATATTTGTAAGAATTCCTACTAGTGATTCATTTGTTTGCAGTCGGAAGATCTTGAGACAAGACGACGAATAATCCTGGATCACGGAGATGATCAGGTACGGTATCCGTGTGATGCGAAATTCAAACAATCTTGGATCATTTTCTAATTCTGTTGTTTTGCTCATTCCGTTGCTTTCGCTCATGTTCAGCGAGTATTCAAACGAATATCATGTTCCTGATTCAAAGGTTCGTATTCTCTATGAACTGGCCCAATGCTGCGCCCAAATCGCAAATACCGATCTCGTCGAGTTATTCGTACAGAACGAAGAAGGAGTTTTCCTGGTCTACAAAGATCGCGAGTCAGCAGATGAGCCGAAAATCAAGTGTCGAAAGGTTAGAAGCTTATTCTTTCTTTTTCTCGATGTGTGGATGTGAGGCAAATTTCAGGTCAAGCGAGCACGAAAGAATCCGATGCATTTACAGAAGCTAGTCGATGTTAACGAGGGAAACATTGGTAAACATTTCTGTCGAAAGTTTAACACTCTTTCAGTGAATGTTCTTTTCTCAAACTCGTAGGTGTCATTTATGTAAAAGGAATGAAAAATTTACATCAGCAAGATTCTTGAAGGGATGTTGAAGAGTTCAAAATCCACAGTTTGTCCTGTTTGAATGGTGCCGAATAAGCCTACATTACGAGATATTCTTTCCAAAAAAGTATGGTTTGCTTAAGAATTTTTGGATACTTTATACTGACTGATGACTGATACTTTATACTTGAGGAAAGTGATCAAATTATTTTATCGTAGGCAAAAGACACGTGTTTTTACTGTTGAAAGAGTAGAAAAACTAGCTCTTTTGAGGTCAGTTTTCATATGCTTTGCAGAACAATTCATTTTTCCTATTATAATAAATCCTATTGCTCAAAGCCCCTGCTCAGGTGAAATCCACTTCAATGCACCGGTATCAGAACGAGATAGACAAATCATCAACGTAATTTGCACTTGGGCTGGAGGATCACTGCATTATGCCCAGGTGTGTCAATAATAAAATCTATTTTTCTTGCATCTATCATTACACGAAGATTCTAAATAAGGCCATTTTGTATTCAATGAGACGTTCAGCATTCAAATTAATCGGATTAGCTTTGTCTGAGGGTAAGTATGGACGTTATCTTCACTGCAATAGTTATCAAGTCAGAACCATGTCTGGGTAGTTTTATTGAGTCGGGACCACGTCTGCGTAGTTATCAAGTCAGGACCATGTCTGCGTCTCTTACTCTCTTTCTTCTCTTGCGTGTAATATGCCAAAACTCGCGTTAGCCAAGCGACGCGATCCTCCACCACATGGGGAGCGGTGTAGGCGTGTCCTCTGTTAGAACAAACTGCACAACCAAAAATACTCGAGAAGAGAGTCTTTTTTGTGAGCGAAATTTTTTCTACCGATAAAACGGGTCTAATTCAGTCCCGAATTTTCCTCTTTCCGCGGAAAAGTATCAAATTTTATCCGGTAAATTCATAATAATACTTATAATCTCACAGGTAGCAGCACAACTGGAGCGAACGGGAAGCAGTTCAGAACTGTTCACAAGGCAACGACGTCTGAATCAATTTCTGCTCGATGTAGCCAAAAGCATTTTTCAAGATATTGTCTCTATGGATACTGTCATTATCAAAGTTATGGTAAGCGGAAAAATGGCAGACACCAAAAAATTCCTATAAAAACTTTCCAGAATTTTGCCGCCAAACTAGTTGACGCAGATAGAGCATCACTCTTCCTAGTAGATAATAAAAATCACGAGCTATACGCTAGAATTTTTGACGTTGGTAAAGGAGGCGAAGAATTTGAGAAGATCAGCAAAGAAGGACATAAGGAGATCAGGTAGAGATCATTTCTGGCCTTCTGTCTTTCAAATCTTATTTTCAATATTTCAGATTCAGTATGAGTCGTGGAATAGCCGGTCATGTAGCGTCTACAGGAGAGGGCCTAAATATTGAAGACGCTTATGAAGACACCAGATTCAATCCTGAAGTTGATTCTAAGACGGGTTACACAACGAAAACCATTTTGTGCATGCCGATATTTATACGCGGCAGGTAAGAATTTTTATTGAAGGAAAGTAGAAAAGACCTTGGCTACCGGTCAAACATTGTAAAAACTTTGTTTCTTTTGTTGATCTTGGCTATCTTCAGCTATATTTCTATCGAGATATGACTATGCATAAAAGAAAATCACACTTAGTGGACCTCAGAATGATTTAGAAATTTGCTGTATCCTTTCTTTAGCCGTCATCGGAAGTAAAAATTATTTTGACTGGCCTTCGTCAAAGTCTGAATGGGGAGACATTGTTGAGTAATTTGCAACTTAAAGGCATCGTCTACTCTAAAATAGGGGTCTTGAGCTGTCAGCTTACGATAATAGGACCCCCTACCAAGCCAGTGCCCAGGTAGCGGCCCGAAATGTCCTTCAAAAACGAGGAAATCGTCTGAATGGCGAAGAGGCCGGATTTTTATTGCCGGATGGATACCAAATAGCACATAATAATGTTTTATAACTTTCTAAATTTATTCAGATCTTAGAAGGAGATATAGTAGATAGTTGCATGGGTTGTTCAATCTTAATACCTTGAAATCGATGCAAAACAGTAGGTAGTTTGAGGGTCAAAAACTCATGAAAATGCAGTTAAGATCAAATTCGTAAAAATTTCGGTCCGTTTTCCAACAAAAAGCCATCAAATCCAGCAAGTGGTAACCTCAGACAGACAGTAAGCTAATGCACTTTATCTGGTACTTTTTGAGGGCTCGCAAGCACTAAACTGGGCTTTTAGGTTGGTGACAGCCAGAGAAATCGCGCCTCTTGACCGCCTCCCCATGAGGACCCCACGTCGGCACTGCACCCTCCAGTAATGCCTGACTCTCCTACGCCCCATCAGGTCACTGTTCCGAAGAACCGCTCTAGAAGTTCTCTGGAACGGAAATTGTCGTTTTCGTGGAATCTCGACTTCATAATCGAAATCAGGGACATGAGAAGGCCGCGAAATGACAAAAAGGAAGACGAGAATCTGGATGGATGGTACCTATATGCGTATTGCACAATGTGCGCGCTTCTCAACGACTTGTAAAATTAGAATCTGCTTATTTCTAGCGATCTTTCCTTGTCTCTTTTGAATTTAATTCTATGTATTACATGCAAGGGAGGGTCGCGAAGTCGAAGTGGCCGATCACAGATGCACATCATATGAAAAGGATGCGCTGCAAATCTGCCTTCCATTTTGCATAACGCTTCTGGGAAGGAAGTTATAGACTTTTTGAGGGAAGTTTACAAGGCAGAGAGTAGCCAGTTTATCAATATCTAAGCATTTTGGACTCAAACCTATTTGGAGCAGCTTGTCCATGCTTAGAGGCGGTGTCCGGGCAAAATCTCGATTGTGAGATTTTGTGCTTACTTGGGCCTATTCGTTATGCTGAATCCGAAAATCCACACTGGAAAGCGCGAAAATGGCAAAAAAAGGGCTCTAGCGAAGGAGAGAAACACAAGTGGGCGGGGTCCTCCTCACCGTGAATTCACGCTCCCAGCTTCCGGAGCGGTCTTCTCGATACCACTAGCCATCTTAACATCGCTACCGGCCAAGTGCAATGATTGACTCAAAACCGGAAGCGAGAAGATCGCTCCGGAAGCTGGGAGCGTGAATTCACAGTGGGGAGGACCCCGCCCACCTGCTGAATTCCCTCCTTTATTAGTGCCGTTTTTCGCCGTTTTCGCGCTTTACAATGTGCATTTTCGGATTCAGCGTAGCGAATAACCCCCGATAAATGGATTTTTTTCTAAAAAACGAGTTTTTGCCCGGACACTGCCTTTGAAGGCACCGTCCACCCTAAATTGGGTTTTTGAGCTTTTGGCAGCATATGATGATAGGGCCCCCCATCAAGCCAATGCCCAAGTCGCGGCGCAAAATGTCGCTTCGAAAGCGAGAAATTCGCTCCGGAGTAACGAAGATGACCCCCATCCATGCCCGCCCATTTGTGCACGCCCATCCAATCACCGTTCCGGCAAGCCGGTCTGTGGATTCTCCGGAACGGGGATTGTCGGGGGTTTCGCAGTTTCTCGACCTCATATTCGGAACCTAAGAAATCCCTGAGAAGACATAAAGGAAGTCGAGAATCTGGGTGGACGGTGCCTTTAACGTGATGCTGACCCTCTTTAAATGTTATCTTGTAGCGCGAAAAGCAATTTGAACGATTTCCATTTCTCGTAATCACTAGAAACCATGCAAATTTAGATGATAAAAATGCCCATACCTTCCTTTTCAAAAGCGTTCTGCAGATGCAGAGAGCAGATATAGATTCAGCGATCCAAGCTGTTTTGTAACGGTATGCATCTTGTGGTAATCAGTCACTTCGATTTCGCGACCCTCCCTTATTAGTAGTGTACATTTCCATAGTTTGACCAGAAAAGCTTCTACTGAAGAGTCACTAGTAAAGAAGTCGTCAGTTACCGCGCACAGTATGCAATCTCACACAATGAGTCACAGGCGACTCGGAAAACTTATGATGCATGCGAGCAAATTCTTCTACTCTTCCATTGGAAGTAATGCATCCTGGGGCCTAAACATAAAAAACTGGTACCTCAGACAGGTAAAAAAATTGTCCGATTAGTTTCTATGTGCGCGCTCAAAGGATTACGGGTTGATTCCCTTATGCAAACTTGAGACTTTGGTTGATATTTTTGACAAGCAATGTGTTGGCGGAAGTATTGGCGGGAAAAGACCAGCACGATAGCGAAAATGGAGTTACAGTTGTGTCAATTACATAATCCCTTTTTCGGCACAATCGAGGCGCCGCAGCCTCGCGCCACGTATGCGCGCGTGTAGGTTGGGCGCTTCGATTGGCCTCATCGATTGAAGATAACACGCAAGATGCTTGCGCTGCGAGTGCGTAGTTCCTATGCAAAAGGGAGTATGCGATTGACATAGACTCTAGAGGACAACTGGTCGCCAGTACGCTCCACCCGCGCAGACAGCTGACACGAGTTGTGATGGAGGTGGGCATGCGGCGTAAATGTCCGCGCAGGATCTCTCCTTTCGGCGACCCAATGTCTTCCCCCAAAAAATTTTTATGGGTCACTTTGAATTTTCAAAATTTCTCCAGTCATTTTAGTGTGATCGGTGTTGTTCAAATGGTGAATAAGCATGAAGGTGTATTCACCAAGGCTGACGAAGACAGTTTTGAGGTCTTCGCAGTTTACTGTGGATTGGCCCTACATCATGCAAAATTATATGATAAAATCCGGCGATCAGAGCAGGTGGGAACTTTTCGTCAACTGCAAAAAAAGCGTCTAAAAAAGTTATCCTTTTAGAAATACCGAGTCGCCTTGGAGGTTCTGGCATATCACAGCGTTTGCAATAAGGATGAAGTGGCAAAACTCCAGAAAATGGAAATAAAAGATCGAGTTGAAGAGCTAGAAACGTAAGCATTTTAATTGATCCTGAGCGCTTTTAGAATTTTTAACAAGTTTAGATTCGAATTCAATTACCTACGGATGTCAGAACTCGAAAAGCCGCTCTATGCCATTTCGATGTTCAAAACATTATTTCAGGACCAGTTGTGAGTTTGGAATTTAGAGACTTTTTTTAACGTTCCCAAAGTAAGATTGTGTTGTAGCCGTTACGATCGTGATGATTTGATCCGATTCGTGCTTACGGTAAGAAAAAACTACAGAAGAGTGGCTTACCATAACTGGGCACATGGCTGGTCTGTAGCTCATGCCATGTTTGTGCTGCTTATGCACACATCTCGTGACATATTCAACACTCATGAGGTTGTCATGATTGTTTGAAACTTTTCGGCTTTATATACGTCATCTTCTTTCAGGCGCTGGCCTTATACGTCTCATGTTTATGTCACGACCTCGATCATCGTGGAAAAAATAATCAGTACATGAAAACGATGATGACACCTTTAGCGAGCATTTACACGACATCAGTGATGGAACATCATCATTTCAATCAAACTGTCACTATACTTCAGCAGGTACGTTGTCAGAAGTGCTTGGAGAAAAATCCGGAAACGGGATTTTTTGATAGTCTAAAGACTGGTTAGCAGGATGGAACTTTTGCACCTATCTGCTTTTTGAAAGTTACAAAAACTACCTAATAAATTGCGCAAGTTATTTCTGTTTCCAAATATTAAAGACAATTTATGAAATTCTTTAAATCTCAAATTAGCTTTGCAGAAATGATTTTTGGGGAGGGGAGGGAGGAGTGTGGCTTCATCATGCCCTTTCTGAGATTATGGGCAGGAAATTGTGCGAAAATTTAGAAAACATGCAAAGAATCTTCTCGGAATACGTAGCTGTTTCCATGCCTCTTCACCCAAAAAAAACCCTCCTGGTCTTCTATGGATATGGGTTACGGTAGTTTCATGGTGTCCTGGTTAAAGACACCATCCACCCAAATTCTCGACTTCCATGTTTTTATTGCCTCCCGGCCATCTGAAGGCCCTGATTTTAAATAAAGATCGAAATCCTCGAAACCCTCAAAAACCCCGTTTTGGAGAAGGGTGCATTGCGGGTCGCGGGGCTGCAGCGTGGATATACGCCGGGCGCGTCATTTGCAACCCTGCGAAGTGGACGGGGTGACCAGGTGGGCGGAGTGACCAGCGCCAAATTACCTCCCTTCCGGAGCGGATTTCTCGCTTCGGAAGCAATCTTTTGCTGCGCAACCTGGGGGTTGGCCCAATGTGGGGGCCCACATTAGTATGTCATCGAATCTTGTGAATCCCCACTTTGTCTGGACGGTGCCTTCAAAGGACAGGTAAAGGAGGGTGTGAAAGCTGAAGAGAAGAAGGTCAAGAAGCGCGATTGCTTTGGTGTTATCAACTAAAAACTCCACTTCATACCGGACAAAGTGATTTGGCTTACTAGACGTTCAAAGTTACCCTTGCAGGCTTTGATGGCTTTTGCTGGAAAATTAGCTGAAATATGTGAAAATTTACTGTTATTAGAATTTCATTGGTTTTGATCTTTAACAATTTCTGAAATTGGTCATAGCACTGAAAATTTTTCATGCGTCTCTGATGTATCTTTCAAAAATATTCAATTGCTTTGAGAACGTTATGAAACGCTTATGTTCGCTTTGTTGTCCATCTGGCAATAGATATGTATTGCGCTTCTCAACATACAATCACACTAATGTGGGATCCGCGGGGGAAGGGGTATCCGCACGTCTCAACAAAACGTACCTCTTACTTGTGTAAGAAATGTTGCAGATGTCCGTAACTCGCCTTCTGGCGGAGTATAGTTGTTTACCTCGTTGATGATGTTGTCGCATCTATGTTCATATGCTACATAGACTCATAATTTCGCAGAAACTTCGGTTTGACAAGCAAAATTCGGAGCGGTTGATGAATTTTTGATTGCAGGAAAAACCAAGCGTCAAGAACGGGAGCTTTGCAGAAAATGCACATCGCCTTAGTTAAAAACAGGAGCATCAGTAGTTTTCCAGTACACATCATGGAATTTCTAGAAGTGCTAGTGGCTTTGCAATATTATTTTGAATTTCTTTTTGTTGTAACATAAGTCTTGTTACACTTTAACTTCTTACTGCGGTAAGTCGTATACTTCATAAATTTGATGATGCTGCAGGGTACCATTCGATAGAGCAAAGCAAGCTCTACAAGATGGCTTACAAAAGTTCGCACCGGCTTTGACTCACCGTAAGTTTGCACCAAAAATCTGAGTCACAGTGAAGGCTCAAATAAATTGGGAGGAATTCATATCTTCATTCAAAAAAAAAACCACAGATCTTCTACTTGCTCAACAATTTGCAAACCACATCAGACACTCAAAGCAGTTGTTGTATTTCTTCCTCGTTTCAAAATTGAGAAAACGAAAATTTGCATGCTTATACAAAAATGAAGATACTATTCGTTTGATTTTCTACTACAAACGCTTAGAGGTGTAACCATAATTTTGCAGCTCTCCGCAAGCCCTATTGTTCGAGGAATATTTATTTTAGCACGGAACACCCGAGTGAAAAAATCTAAATTCGGTAATTTTCAAACCCTAGGACCCGTGGAAAGCTGAAAATTTTCGGTTACACTTTTGAGGGCTTGTGTGATACAATTACATGAGTGTAAACAGCAGAACTTCTTTTCTGTATAAGCATGAAAATTTTTGTTTTCTTGATCTCTAAATGAGGAAGAAAATATAGGAACGGTACATATGAGTGTCTGATGTGGTGTGTGCAATTTGTGTGGGCAAGTTGGAGATCCGTAAAATTTTTTTGAATGGAGACATAAATTTTTCCCAATTTTTTGAGCCTTCAGTACGACTCATATTTTGAATGCAAACTTATGGTGAGTTGAAGATTGTGCGTACTTTTGCATACTATCTTGTTAATGCTTTTTTCTATCGAAGGATACCCCGGAGCCCTATTGAAATTATGATGTAAGACTTATCGCCGTAAAAGTTAAAGTATAACAAGACTTATGTTACAAACTAATAGCATCCCTGCAGTCTTGAGTTCGTTGGACCATAAAATTACGAAGAGTTATAGTATCGCTTGTAAGATATAATTTAGAACGAATCGAGAGCGGTTCCTTTGATTGGACAACTTTAGTTTGATTTTCTTATAGGGTTTTTTGAGTGCTTGAATTCGGCAGGAATACATAAGTTTCAATTTTGGTTTCAGGACGGCCACAACATATTGAAGACCATGACCTCTTCCGAGTATAAACAAGCTCTTTCACTTATCAAACACTGCATTTTGGCTACCGATCTCGCTCTGTTCTTCACGAATAAAGCCGAGCTCAACAAAATCATTGATGCTGGAAATTACGATATTCATCATGAGCATCATCGGTAGGGTGCTGAAAACCTTTTGATCTCCCCCCTCTCCCCTCTTCCCTCCCTTTTTTTCCAAGTACTATTCGATTTCAGGAGATTGACGCAAGCTATATTGATGACAGGATGTGATTTAATAGCTTCCGCTAAACCATGGTATATACAGACGGAAACGGTGAAAGTGATATTCGAGGAGTTCTACGAGCAGGTCAGGAAGATGAAAAGTGAAAGGTAATATAATGAATTTTGTTTAGGGAGATGCTGAGAGGCTGAATGGTCGCGAGCCAATACCGATGATGGACCGTAATAAAGCGCACGAACTTCCGCAAATGCAGGTAGTGCATCAAATAATCACTAAAAATTCACCTTAAACTTGTTGAAGAGATTAGAAAACAAAGACCTGTCTCAATTTTTCATTTCTATCTCGTAATCTAGATCCTCCCTGGAAATATTGATAAGCCTAAAATTGCCTCAAGAGTCAAGAACTCCATTTTTTCTCTGGTCATGTTTGCGCATTTTCTCCAAAAACAGATCATTTTCACTCTGGCTGTTTTAATTCCTGCCTTTTCCAGTATCTTTCAATCTCTAATTAGCAATGTTATCTTGCTTGAGTGATTTTTCTTCATCTAGCTCACTTTTTTAAACATTAAGTTCAAGGCGAATTTGCCACAAATGGTTCAGTTAACCATTGTTTAGCGAATACACATATCCTCCAGCCATTTGTAATTTGATATGCGTGTCTGCACACTATACTTGGGGAAATTCGAAATTTTTTTCGAATATTCGAATATCGAATATATTCAAAAATTGAAAATTTCGAATATTCGGCTATCGAATAATATTCGAAAATTGAAAGTTTCGAATATTCGAATATCGAATATCATTCATTTTCGAATATTATTCGATTTTCAAATATCATTCGAAAAATTGAGTGTCTATGTGATATGATAACGTGGCCAAGCGCATAGTTTACAAGTACTGTGGGTCTTTGTAGTTCCCTTTTATGCGACTACTACACGGCAGTGCCTGAAGTATATCTCAGCGTGCTGCGCGGATTCTCTACATTCAGCCCGTGCTGTCGACAACTCAACGGTACACATATAGTACACACATTGTTGAACTGTTCAAATGCTATACACACCATTTCGAATCGGCACTCATGGCAGTAAGCAATATTCCTCTCATTGGCGGTGCGATAAGCGAGACCGCTGCTGGAAATACTACACTGACTGATTCTACCATATTCCTGTTCTCACACTACAACAAACGACGAACTTCTTGACCCAACACTATTCCTTCCGGTCACTAGTCAGTCACCTTGAATAGGCCTTCAATTTACGATGTCGAGTGGAAGTAACGCTGCGACGATATCACGCAAATCTTCACGCTCACATCTATCACCTTTTCGGAATGCGAATGAAAAACAGCGTGCACTAGACGTAGACTTCAGGCTCAATTAACAAAAGTCAAGTCAACATGTCGATTACATAAGCTTTTGTGCTTTTTGAAAGGTACTCAAAACTTCAATACATCAAAAAATTCCAGGGTCGGTAGTAATCTGGTTGGAACTCACAGTTACGTTCAATTACTCTGAGTTATATCTGAGCTAACGCGCACCTTTCTTACCCCCTCAAGTGCTTGAATGGACCACATCTAGAAAGCGATGATAGGCAGGAGACTCTGTAACCAATAGTTTAGTCCTAGTAGGAAAACGTCATCGAAATCGTTCTGCACAAGAAACAGCGCCACCAAACGCGCAGCTGCGCCTTGCGATAACTCTGAGTTTGGTGCGCGTTACAGTCTATCGTGAAACTCAGGCTCCCGCCAGAGTGCCGAAGTTATGCCAGCGCTACGCCAGCATTTCGATCGATACACGTGTATTTCGTTGGGACATCCTACTTGCTGAGCTAGCCCCGCCCCAACGAAATACACGTGTATCGATCGAAATGCTGGCGTAGCGCTGGCATAACTTCGGCACTCTGGCGGGAGCCTCAGAGATAACTCTGAGTTTGGTCAGAGTAAGAGAAATAGTGTACAAAAGAAGAGGGGCAGCTAAAGAAGTACATTTTGCTCGTAGGCCCCCGCCAGAGTGCCGAAGCCACGCCAGCGCTACGCCGGCGCCGAGCCAGCGTTTCGATCGATACACGTGTATTTCGTTGGGGCGGAGTCCTGGCTGAGAACTAGGTCAGCTAGCCCCGCCCCAACGAAATACGCGTGTATCGATCGCAACGCTGGCTCGGCGCCGGCGTAGCGCTGGCGTGGCTTCGGCACTCTGGCGGGAGCCGTACTTTGACCAGGCATGATGGGGGGGGGTATCGTGGTGCGCCGCTATCTACGAAATTTTGAAATCTTGTAAAACCTTGGTGTCCAGGGGATATTCGGCGCGCTGATCACGAATTGGTATTCATTTTTCACTTTTTCACTTTGGGCTCATAGCCGTGTTATATTGGTTCTAAAAGTTCAAAGTCTAAGTTTAAGTTTCAAAGTTTACTCAATGACGCTCATGATGAAGTGATAGATGCTGATGGAGAAAACCATCAAAATCCTGGCGTCCTGGATAGCGAAAAAGCGATAGCAGCTACATAGTGCGACAGAAATGGCGCACCACGATCCACTGTACAGACTACTGCTTCAGGACCACAAAACGTATACTAGCTTGGTAGAAACTCCTACAGTGACGTGCTATGCTTATGGAGTTCCATCATTCGACGGTCATCGAATATTCGAGTATTAGATGTTCATCGAATGATTCGAATATTCGACAACCATCGAATGATCGAATTGACGACCTTCGAATATTCGACTTTCGAATAATATTCGAAATTTGGTATTTTCGAATATTCGAATATCGAATATATTCGAAAACTGAAAATTTCGAATATTCGACTTTCGAATTTTATTCGAAATCTCAGATTTTCGAATATTCGACTTTTCGAATCATTCGCATTCGAATGATTTATTCGAATGATCGAATAATCATTCGATTCGGTCCCAAGTATACTGCACACCATGTGCGGCATCTGACGACAACCCTGGTAACTCGTCAGTGAAATTTTTTTAGACTGTAGAAATGTGACTAATAACTGTCATATACTCAGTGAAATCAAAAAGACTATGGAACAAGGGGAAATCACTGGGAATTAGCAGTAATCTTACAAATCGTCAAGTACCTTGCTTGATATGCAATACGCATATCAACTCGACAGTAATGTTCATGCATCTTATGATAGCACAATAACATTAGCAAAATTTTTAATATATAGTCTTCAAAAAATGAAAATAAAAATGGGATATCGTAAAGCTACTGTCCTAGTTTAAAAATATGCAAAAATTATAAGAAGTCACCACATGCGTACTTGGAAATTACCCGGAAAGTTGGAAAAAATTGCGTGCTCGGAAATTCGTACTTCTTTGCAGGTCGGGTTCATGCGTGGCATATGCCTACCTTGCTACGATTTGGTCGCAAAAGTAATTCCTGACGCTGCGTTCTTAAGAGACCAGTGCGAGTGAGTCTAAAAAGTGAATAAATCAAGCATCGACTTTCTCCGACTTTTCAGATATAATGCGAAAAAATGGGAAGAGTTGGCAGCAGAGCAAGCAGAGCTGAATAAACGAAACACTGAAGAAACTCAAGCAGAGAACGAGAAAGAATGACAAGAAAAGCAACACGCTTATTACCTAAAATATTCTATTATATATAGCAGTCACGATTTGAAACAGCAGAGCAGACTCCGAGATGGCTACAAACTTCACGCTGGCTTTATCAGTAAAAAGTCACATAATAGTATTTATACAGAGTGGATTTTGAAAAATTGAGGCAATAAAAAATCTATGTCTTGTTACCTGTTTGTTTGTTGTATAGCGTGTTAGTTGAGTAACCGCTAACCCTGCTCATTTCTCTAATATGAGCTCGCGATTCTGCGAAATTGTCGCTGATCCATGTCTGTGCATCACCAATTCAGACAATCGCCGGGGGCAGGAGGTCCGCAAAATCGCGCTTTCCTGCGGCCGGACGGCAGAATTTTGAAGCATGGCCAAATCTTCAGCGAGCGGTACTTCCTTTGTTGCTCTGTCAACGGGCAGCAATACAGCATTTTTTGCAAGCGGACGTCAAATATGCTTTCAGCGAGCGCTGGTCAAATTTTCAGCTGGCGCTCGGACGGTTTTTAAGCAGTTTGGGGCGTACGCCGAGCAAAGGTGAGACTCTACATGGCAGATGTGTCATTGATGGTTTTCTTAATCGAGTTTGGGGTACTTTCTCTTAGCGTAAAACCTACGGGCTGTGCGGTCCTTCACAAAGGACCGTGCGGCCCTCAATAATTCTGCATATTCCCGCGAAAACTCCGCGAGAATGCAGTCACCGCGCCGCAATGACCTCTGGAACCGCAACTGTTCCCCGAGCCTGCGTTTAATTCGGCCAACATTCTTCTAAATTTCTGCAAGCGGATCGCAAGAAATCAGCGAACTATTTTTCCGGTGCCCGCTTGCCCATAAACCGCATGGCCGCCTGCCCCCCCCCCCCTCCACCCCAAAGATTCTCTGAGCGGGTTTCGTCGGCTACTTTTCGTTATCGATTGATATCGGATTTATCGATTTTACTGATTCTTGATTCTTTTAACTGAGGGGCTGGGAGTTGGCACGAGGTAATCGAGCATGTGCTCAGATAATCGCCGGGGGCAAGCGGCCATGTGAATTTTGAGCAAGCGGGCACCGGAAAAATAGTTCGCTGATTTTTTGTGGTCCGCTTGCAGAAATTTGGAATAATTTTGGCCAATTTTTAGACGAACGCTCGAGGATCTATCGCGGTTTTTCTATACATGAGTTGCGGCACAGTGGCCGCATTCTCGCGGATTTTCCGCGAGAACATGCAAAATTATTGAGAGCCGCACGGTCCTTTTTGAAGGACCGCACAGCCCTCAGGTACTTTCCGCTGAAAAAAAGTACCCCAAACTTGGGTAATAAAACCATCGATGGCACCTCTGCCACATAGAGTCTCATCTTTTCTCGGCGTACGCCCGAAACTGCGTAAAAAGAGTCTGAGCGCCTGCTGAAAGTTTGGCCAGCGCTCGCTGAAAGAGATTGTTTGACGAGCGCTTGCAGAAAATTTTGTATTGATGCCCGCTTGCAGAAAACGCAAATACCGCCCGCTGAAGATTTGGCCACGCCCCGAAATCCTGCTGACCGCCTGCAGAAAAGCGCGAGTTTGCGGACCGCCTGCCCCCGGCGATTATCTGAGTGATTACTAACACATCGGAATAGGGAATTGACATATAGAAGTGTGCACAGGGAAAGGTTGTACAGTGATAGGGATGAGACCTATCACAGTGTTTTGACAAGGCCGGGCGGAGCCGAGCAAGTCAGCTAGTCATATAATAACTCATGGTCGCAAATGACTCCAAATATGTTATGTGAGTTAACCACGTTTGCTGTTATTTTTGGCACAGCTAGATATAGGACTGCTTTAATTGATCTTTTCAGCTGCTCGTCCTTTTTAATGAACGGGCACATTTGACTCTAGCCCGACTATGTTGGCGTGTTAGTGAACTCTTATGAGCAAATACAAAATAGACACATTATAAAGCGTAACCAGAACAAGCAAAGTTATGATCGAACTATTCTTCAATGTTTCCGTACTTTCTAACCATTCACCGTGACGGGATACATACCCACAAATTACAGCCTCGGTTATCTACTACAGTCGGAACTAAACATGCCGGCCCTGTGGTGTAGTGGTTAGTGCTGCCTTAGAAGATGATGCAGGTGTAGGTTCGAGTCCTACTGCGTTTTCCAGTTTTACTTGCATGCATTGAGCTTCTTCTTATATTTTTGGTATACTTGAGGTACTGCATGCCCTTGCACTAAAAATTTAAAACAGAGTCATTTCTATACAAGTTCTTCTGTATTTATTCAAGAAGGTGGATGTTAATGAAATTCGAACAAAGATGTATGACCTATGAAAACGGTCAAAACATAGAAGTTGCTCGCAATAGAGACATTTTAGCACGAACAGTGATCATTTTTCCTATTCCATATTTTCGAGGAGTAAGGGCGTGCTCTCACCTCGAGAATGCCAAACTATTGGGTTGTAATGAAACTTTCCGGACAATTCTGGAAATTTAATTTTCGTACTCATTTTTTCGAACCCGGTTATGTTTCAAAGACAAATATTTTATATGGTACTGTAGAAGGGAGCCTAAGCTTTCCAAACTCGCAACCAGTTTGTCACTTATTTGACTTACATTCTAAAAAAGGAAGTCTGTGCAACGATGAAAATTTCACAATTTTTCTTTTTGCTGCCATTTCCATTTTCAAAATTCCTGAATGTCAGGGAACACAACTTGAGATTCGAATAGTAGTTTATGTAATCAACTATGATTGCCACGCATCTTCTAAACTCCCTTGCCACCATCGAAAATGACTCCTCAAAGGCAGCAGCGTCCGGGCACATTTTCGCCTTTCATGTTTTTGTCATTCTCGAGCTCTCTATGACCTTCTTTCGAAATATTCTCAAATGCATAAAAATCCCAAACACCCCCATTTTGGGAACTTCAATTAATAAGCGCGGACGAGTATTCCGAAGCCAATTTATTTCCAGTGCAACGTGAAACATGTATCACGGATAGATACACCTTACAGGTACAAGGTGAAATGGTGCGCGCAACCTTTAAGCTCGTCCACGTAAGTGTCTGGGAAGCAAAAAGGATTAAAGGAGCATTAGCATCCGAGACTTTGAAAGGCAGTTTCCCGAGCGGACTTGATGATCTGTTGTAGTTAAAGGAGGAACCTATTGCACGGTATCAACATCTCGGAAAGATCGTTTGCCCGACGCTGCCCTTATCGATAAAGCAGCATTCCAGTGCGAGACTTTCTCGAAAGATTTGAGCGCAGTCACTCTTTTTATTAATCTAAGCAGTTTTTGGGAGTTTTTTAAACACATTTATAATCTAATAAGAGGTTACTCGGGGGTCCTTGTCCTTGTTTCTAACAAGGAAAAGATACTTGGTCGAAATGGCGTTCTCGTATAAGATGCCTACTATTTCATAGAGCATTGAACGCTGATTCCAGATCTGCTTTCGGTATCTGTAAAGCACTTCTGGGAGGGGAGTTATGCTAATTTTTTGAGGTAAAAATTCAATGATATGGCGAAGATAAAAATAGGTGTTGAGGTCTTTTCGGCTCTGAAAGGAGTAATAACTGACATGAGTTTAATAGATTGAAGGCCTTGTTTCATAAAACGCCCTGGTAGCATTCATGGCCCCATTTTAACTCACGGACTAAGATTCCGAATGATTTTATTGTAACGGCGCTTTCAAATTTTTGCATGAAAATAAACCCATAACTCCCCTCCTAGATGCGCTTTGCAGATACCGAAAGTAGGTTTGAACTCAGCTTTCCATGCTCTATAAGTATACATTTTACTTGGAAATGCCACTTCGACCAAGTGTCCATCCCTTGTAAGGAAATTTACACAAGAGCTTTGTTTTCAGTACGAAAAGGCTATAGGAACGCAATTTTTCGGTTTTGGCAGGATATTATTGAAACATTCGTCACTTTATGCTCCAATTACAAGCATTCCTATATGCTTATGAGCTTAACATCTGAAAAATTGCCGCGAATGACTTTTGCCTTTCTTACGTAAGGTCACGGTCTCTTACATCGCATGGAGTAAAGGTAACCAAAGTACCGGCTCTAGGTGTCGAGGGCATGTTAATGAGCACTGCTCACGCTGGAACAGCATAGCGGCGCTCTATTGAAATCATGGAAATGTTCGTTTTCTCGAATTTTAGCGGTGGGAAAGTACAACAGATGCGTATATGTCTTTTGAGGAATGCAAATGCGTGTGCGTGTTAAGTTTTCTTAGCACGTTGACGACGAGCCATTTTTTGAAGGTCTGTCCCTGTGGACGAACCGTTTCCCGGCACTTTCACAGCTGGCTGCATGTATGTTTGTATGCATCGATGCGTGAGATACAAAAATGCAGGTGGGCGGAGCGGCTCCGCCCACTTTTGGCAAGCCCCGCCCACTTTTCAAAAATGCTGGAAATTGCCCAAAATCAATAAATTCGTGCAAATTCCGGCATTTATGAAAAGTGGGCGTGGCTTGCCACTCAGGGGGCGGAGCTTGCCCCTTAGGGGCGGAGCTTGCTTGAAGGTGCGCGGGGCCTGGCTGAAAGTTGTTTGAGGTCTCTGCGTTCATTTACGGCCTCATCCATGCTTTTTATGAACAAAAATGGCTCTTGTGGGAGGCATAGGAGTGGGCGGAGTTTGCCAAAAGGGGCGGAGCTAATATATGAAGTATATCTGAGCCTATGTTGATTATATGAACAAAAACTGAGAGGATTGGACAGATAGTATTGAAATTAAGGCCGCCGCGCACCATTGCGCGGCGTCGTCCACAGGGACAGACTGCCTGCCGCGCACCATTGCGCGGCACTGTCGTCAACGTGTTAGGATTTCTTCAACGTTTTTTTCCGATTTTTCATGCTGTTAGATCCTTTTAGTTATTTCTGGCTTCAAACTTGTGTGGATCGAAATTGATGCCAGTGTTCATATCAAATATCGTTGAAAGTGTCGTTCGACAACCTTCAAAATTATCCTTTTCTAGCAAAAACGATGTTTAACGGCTAACAGGTCACAGGAGTAGTGATCGTCGAG